GCTTCATGGAGGAAGAGTCTCAGCTTAGCCTGTTAGCCTTCACGCTAGCACCGACGCTATATTGCCTTATATGTATTAGCTCAGCGCTACACATCATTCTCTTCTCGTCACTGAGGTCCTCCATCCACATGACAGAGAGGGGAACACAAAAATGACTCAGCTGTAACTGAAAATATGGATGGAGGACCTCAGTTTAGCTTGTTCGTCGCGCTAGCGCTGAGCTAATACATATAAGGCAATATAGCGTCGGTGCTAGCGTGAAGTCTAACAGGCTAAGCTGAGGTTCTTCTTCCAAGCTGAAAAAATCTTGGATCAAACGGTTTCCTCTGCAGGTGGTTTCACGACCTTTCACACCTGGAGTCATGTGACTAAAGCATCTGGCATGGTGGGAGGTATACGTTGCCCCGCAGGTCCTACAGGTAGGTCATGTGACCTCAGCCACTCTCCAGGTGTGTCCCTGCAATAATTTAAACCCGAAACTCCCCATCAGTCAGTCAGGACTGAAGACACCTCCAGGACCGACTGGAAAGCATGAATCAAAGCAGAGGTACAGTCAGGCTTTTGKTTTTTTTTACTGTTTATCAGTCAAAACTCTGATTATCTCTTCAGTCCATCAGAGGGAAGCGTAACGAGACAAAAACTGAGAGGGTTTTTCTTTGATCTCACACTTYTACAGCGTCTTCTCCAGGAGTTCGTCCTGTTGCTCCACATTTTCAAATCTGGGTCATTTTAAAATAAYTGAGCTGAGCTCAGCAGCTGCAAACCTTCCAGTTTTTCTTTGACTGTCAAGATTTGTAAGAAAGTCCCGGCGATGACAGAAAAATGCATAAARTCACATTAAAGGGAAGTTGTGTTTTCAGCGTGAGCAGCCAGTTCGGTGTGGTAAACTCAAAGGCTTTGGATCATAAACTATGAAAGAAAGGGTTTATTTTTCCTGTTGTGTGATGTTAGGACTGATGTTTTTATCTCRGTTGTTTGTAGTCTTGAATATGGAGCTAAATTGGGGTCATAAAGTTTCTTTAAAAAAGTTGAAGAAAAAACCCGTTTGAAACTGAAAAATAATTTTAAAACAGAAAAAAAAAAAGATTTGAAACTGAAAAAAAGGTTTGAAACTCCAAAAAATACATTGGAAACTGGAAAAGTTTCAAACATCTTGTATTTTGGTTTCAATTTATGTTTCAGTTTCAAATCTTTTTTTTTAAGTTTCTTTTTTTTAACGAACTTTATGACCCAAATTTTGCTCCATACTTGATCACGTCTTTGCGTTTTTGTTTGCTTATTGRTAAGTTAAAGTTTTTTTGTAGATTTCATGAGGATAAAATACAGTTTGTTTTGTCTGACTGACTTTTCCTGTGATCCCTGATGATGGGAAACTTATCCATGCTAGTCACCAGTCTCTCCAATGCTAACACAAATGAATAGTCTCTGTTATGTTTTGTCTGGTTTCATGTTTTTATTTTGACTTTATTCTGATTTTTCTGTCATGTTCCTCTGTTTTCTTCTTATATTCTGTGTCTTGTCTTCACTTCCCTGTCGGGTCATTGTTGAGTATTGTTATGTATTGTGCCTTGTCTTGCCACGCCACTCAGTTTCTTTTGAGCTGCCCCATCAGCACCTTTTTGTTAATAAATACTTTGTTTTTTGGAGGCTTTATTCTGCCTGCGCCATGGGTTCTTTCCTGCCTGAAATTCATAACAGTCTCCTGATCTACCAGCACAGGCCAGCTTCTTGTTAGCGGTGCTGGCCTATCATTAATCAGATCAGTAGCTTAGAAACAGACAATAAGGATGTAGCAACTGCTGGTTGTGCAATAAGTCTTACTTTTGACGCTCATATTGCCCCATAGACTTACTAATGTTCAGGTTTTGACTGGCGCAATTTCTGAGGTCACTGCAGTCTCTTTGTACCATTCTTTGATTTATACTACAGTTTCATATTCTATAGTTATTTCATTCCCATAWATTTACTATTACTTATCAAATTTTCTTTGTAGTTGAATATTATGATGAATAATTAAGCTATTTATTTATAAACAAAATTGTAATTTGTGGCATATTTGTGTCTCAGTTGACACCAGAGACACAGAAAAATGTATTGTCTTACACAGTAGTCCTGGCCATAATAGTATAATGGGTTCTTATAATGGTCAGGTGCAGTTCCTGAAAGCACACAGGTACAAAACAACCAGAACAACTTGGGTACAAAGTGGATCATGAACCGAGACCTGTTGCCTTTGGAAGTGTGGTGTTAAAAGCTGAATTAAAGTCCAAGAAAAGTGTCATGTTTATAATTTAAAAGCTCCAAAGAACAGATTTCTGTATCGTTGATGTGTTTCCTGCTGGTTCCTCTGACTGGACCAGAACTGATCCCTCAGAGTTTGGTTCTTATCTGCAGTGATGCAGCTCTTTGATTACAGCTGCTGCTTTGAAAAATGTTGGGTACAACTGAGTATTTTAGGTAAATTTTGGTGAAGGCCTCTGTGATCTGGTCCAAACTTACCTGAAGAACCCGTCCCAGGACGCCTCCTGGTTCTGCTCATGGAAAAGATTCAAACTCATGGAAACAAGGAACTAAAAGAATCTTAAAACCTGCTGTGTTTGTATTTTCCGTTGCTCCGTGTTTACGTGAGATAAAAAGATGCAGTCGGACGTGGTCCAAACAGGAAGTTACCGTCTGCTGAGGTGATGGACGTCTAACGGACAGATCTGTGTCCCTCAGTGTCTCAGATGGTGATCGAGGAGGTGGGAGTTCTGCAGACTCAGCTCGAGATCGAAAAGTCGTGTCGGGAGAATGCAGAGGCCCTGGCCACCAAGGTCTGCTTCACACACACACACACACACACACACACACACACACACACACACACACACACACACACACACACACTGCAGAAACCAGCTGATTATGTTGTCATGGTGTTAAAATGACGTCACTCTGAGAACTCTGATTTTATCAAGCGTTAATCTTCAGAGGTAGATGTGACCCTGGTAGCCCCGGCGTCTCACCTCTGGTCCTGGTTGTCTTTGACGTGCAGCTGAACTGTGAGAACAGGAAGTTGAAGTACCTGAGCCTGACGTCACGGCCCTGTCTGGACGAGCTGCTCCCCAGCATCTCTGACTGCGTCGCGCTGGAAGCTGACGGAGACGCTGTGGACATCAGCCCCGACACCGTCACTCAGAACCAGCTGCAGGTGAAAGGTACGACTCGCAGGTTATTTCCTCCTCACTGCAAACTGTCAGGCAGAGTGTGTAGGTCATAAATTTGTTCAAAATAATAAAAAATGAAACTGAAAAAAAC